TCTCCTTTTTGCAAGAATTTCTAATTTTGGAAGCCTATTTTATGAAAGAAACACGTGTCAATAGAGTTCTTTTCTCTTTGATAGCCTTTGTCGCAGGATTTTTGTGATAAGCATACTAACGTCAGAGATCGATTAGAACAAGCGAACATTCGGAGTATGTATTTTTTCATAGCTTCCATCAATGCAATAATATGTGCTAAGAATTTGAACGCAGAAGTTATCTACGTCGATAATTTAGGTGCATGTGTCAAATCGAGAAAGGGAAGTCTCAACAGTATCCTGTTTCAAGACATGATCCTTCTTAATCTCAGGAATGTTCTCTTCAGTAAAACTAAATTCATTTATATGTGATCATAAGAATCTGAAGAGAATCATTTAAATCGATTACTTTATTTCCATCGAAACGACAATTTCTCTATTGATATTAATCCTCTGTCAAGACAGCCTTGGAAAGGTTGGTACTATCTAGCGAGGGTGTGGATGCTAGATTGCTTTAAGGGTGTAAGTGAGTTCTTCAGTTAACTTAGATGCATCCTACACTGTTTTCTATTCAACGAGACGCTCCTAAGCTCAGACGGTTCAATAGAATTCTTGAAAAAATGTCAAAATACTGAACATTCCCATTTTATGCAATTATTAAGAATGACAACACAGAGTCTTTATACTTCATTTCAACTGGCATTTTTCACAGATAAAATCAAGTGGTCTAATATTTTTGATTTAACTATGATTTCACAAAACCTATCATTTGAGATATTTTCTTCGAAAACTAAAAACTTTTTTCCTGATGATTCTGTTGTAGACCTTCTCTTAAACAATATTGCCGAAAATACTATTTACTAAGGATCACTCAATATTCTAGCTGTATCAAAAACATTGGAGATTTCGTATCATCAGCGTTGCAGAGCAAGTAAAACTCAATCTTGCTTTTGTTATAGCTGACGAATCTACTAAAAAAAATTTTGAAAAAAATCATGTAAGACTATTTTCTTCAGAATTTTAAATCGGAGATAACTTTTGTACAAGCTGATTGAGATCATGATGTAATATTCTCGTCATATAAGATCACGAAATGAACAATATTTACCGATTCATATAGGTTCGTTAACAACAGTGGGAGCTAATTTTATTGAAAGCAGAACAATATAGAGACATTTATTTAATCACGGTTTACATCGATTTTAGGGTATTTATTATCTTCCATGTGACGCTCTTAGAAGCGATAGGTCATGTAAGGAGCGACAGAAGCTGTTCTTTGTGGTTTTTTGCAGTGAATCCAAGCAATAAGGGTTTGTTTCAATTTTGGAATAGTGCCGAGAAGTGTAAACGAGAGTAGAATTGTCGGAAGATAGTTGACATAGTAAAAGTAGGGTCCTTGTACATCTGATCCGAAATCAGGTAATCCTGACCAACGTACAATGGTGACAATAATGTAAGGTAGATCAAAGATGTATATCACTGATATGCACATAAATTGAACGAGCATCTTCCTGTATTTCCTCCACCGACCGGTTTGACGTAAGCGAAACTTCTGCACTACAACACGAATGATCATGGCACCGCTTAGTATGACGATGAGAAATATGGGAATGACATAATGAACGAGGGATTCATACCATATTAACCAGGCTGGTATACCGTTGTAGTAATAAGGGCCACCGCATAGAAGAAGGGAATAGTCATAGTCATGCGGTATTGGATAGAAAAATATCAAATAAACATAAATAATAGGACAATAGAAAGTGAAAAATATCAATGGAATGTAGTGAATAAGCAGGCGTCTGAATGGTGTATTGACCAGATTCGTGTAGAAAATAAGAATGTATCGTTCGATTGACATCCAACATGTTAGAAAAACATCTCCGAACCAAAAACCATAGTCGACCAGCTGCCAGAGAAGACAACCACCTGGAGTGGAAGGTAAAACGCTACCCAAGCGAAGAAAGCTCAAATGCATGGATAAATCAATGGTCAAGATGACGAAGTTAATAATAAGTTTGCCGATAAGAGCATGATTATGAAGACCTTCACGTACTTCTTTATGAGCCAGGTATTTGTAGATCACAAACAAATAACAAGGAATAGATACTGTTTCAGAAAAGACAATCAACCAAAATTTGATTATTTTCGAAAGAGGTGGATCAACAGCGTGAACACCATTGCTGTCATAGATTGTTGTATTATCCATTGACATAGAGTATGATTACAATGCTAGGTTGAAAAAAAACAATATCAAAAATAAAACTAATATGTATTTGTAAGGTTATTAGACAACCGCCTTGCGTAGTATCAACTATTTCATGAGATGAGTCTATACTCATAATACACATTGTTTTTTCTAAGAGAGAATATGATAAAATTTAATTTGTTAGGCACTATCCAACTATATCTTTGTTTGCATTCAACTCGTGCACATTAATCTGCTTTCCATCGAATCATGTTTGACGTACATGTAGACGACTCCTTCAAGGCATATTCTTCTTTTTTTAACCACGATGGACTTTGCCATGAGATTCTGATGATGTCAATTAATCATAAAACCTGTCATCTTCACTTTAGATGTGCAGCGATTCGCTAAAATATAACACGTCTATACTAATCGAGAAAAATATCATTTATCTTGACGCCATTCAAGCTCTTCACTGCGTGAAGAACTAATCCATGCATGTAGAATAACTTGTCACTTGAAACATCAAAAACAGATCACGTGCGCATGGATGCATCTTTTTTGTTTCAACCGAACACGCACTGTCATGTATAATACAAAAAAAGATGATGAAAATGCGCTTAAATTAGTTTGTAAATTCGACAGAATGTATACAATCTTACCTTATAAATGAGTTATAATGCGTTGAAAAAATAAGCCAGTTTACCTGCTTTCGAACTACAGACGAGTTTGTACGTCGAACACGTTTAGATTCACGAAGTTTGAAACCAACTCATATATTTGTAACTTCATGGGCGTTTGTTTGCTGATCGTGTTTATACATGTTTTAATCGCCATACACGATTGGTTATGCTGCGAGTAAGATGATTGTACTTCCAAAAATATCCGGAGTTACTTCGAATGAAACTATTTTCTATGGATTCACGTTCATACATGTTTCAAATGGCAAGTCAGAGTTGTAACTGGTCATAGTTAGTCCGATAGAGGATTCTTTACCGATTAGCTTGATTTCGGTTTTGAATTTTTACATATTTTTCCAAAAGAATGAGTATGACAATATTTTTGTTTTGCAAATGAAACCCTTTTTTTTATGTTAAAGGCTATTTCAATGAGGAAGAATGCACCGAACCATTATATTCAGTCAAAATTCATCATAACATACTTATCATATATTATTAACTTACTTTCATATCAAGTTATATTATCAAAATGAAATTGAATAATTGTTTAACACTAGTTTATCATAGATTTACTTTCATTTTGAACAGACATAAGAGTAAATGTTGAAAGCTGATATAGAATTTGTAGGTCTATGAAGTCTTCTGTTCACGAATATATACTTAGAAAGAAAAGATTTATAGAAATTAATCGGGAACAATACTAAATTTGACTTCTATATCATTAGTATAGTGTTTAGGATGCAGATGTGTCTAATGGAGTAGTCGATCTGAAAATTATAGGATTATAAAAATGAAGAATAATTCATGCCAGTATACTAGCAACTCCGATAGAATTCGACCGTTCCTAGTAGTACTGGTGTTTGATAAGACAAAAGCCCTATCCGCTCTAACTCTGTAGCAAGATACAATTGCATTATAGACAATAATCGTCATTTGATGTTCATACACGCCGAAGAAAGTTTTTCAACAAGTATGATCTGCTTTAACATATTCTACTTGCTAAGTCCAATTTCTCCAAGATAAACGTCCAGAAAATATCGTGATAATAGTTTCTACCAATCGTTCCGAAATCAATATTCATAGATGTGCTCAGTGCTAAAGACATATTTCTAGGTTTTCCAATAGAGAGTGGAAGACCAAGAATTGCATTATAATCTTCATAATTTTTTAAAGAGAACTTTAATATTTTGATTTCATTGAATTCATTTGTGTTCATTACATACTCCAAAATAGAGCAAATATTTCTTTATTCATTTCTATGCTTTGTATTTAATAATGTGGGAACTCAAGTGGATATTAGCCTTCGCTTGAAGATCGGCTTTCAAATGTTCCCCATTGTCGCTAGTTTTCAATATGCATCATCGCAGCTATTCGTTGTACTTACTAATGCATTATTTTGCCATCGGAAGCTAATGAATGTATTTATATGATTATGACATCTATTTCACGTATTATGATTTATTGAAAATACTACTCATTATAATGCATGACATAAGTTGTATGCCAATGCATTAAAAGTTTTATACATTGCAATGACTCAAATAAAATGCATTGGAGCTAATACGTTCTAATGCATTAACTTTCTGCAAGACTTTAAATCATTGCCATGCATCTGACTTTATTTCCTATTTAATTTCGAAAATGCCTATCTTCCAGTGTCTTTTTAAAAATTGATTACGGATCGATTGAAATCCATTGAAATCAATAAAAGTTGATCTAACGAGGGAACCACCCGAGGTGTCAAAAAGCTGTTCAGTCGGGGATATGATGGTTAGATAGGGCATAGCTAGGAGTGATATACCCTAAGTTAGTTCGGGCCCATGTTGCTTCTAGCAGGAGTTATGAAATGTGAAATTTAGGTATAAAAATGAATCAGGGAAGGTTTTCTCNCCGCTTATGCTTGCTTTTCTCTCTTATGTGTAACCTGTTAATTGTAAAAGCTACACTGTCCCTTTAGGACCGACATGATCGTGGGGTTTTCATTGCTAATAAAAAAAAAACTCGTCAGCTTAGTCTCGATATGAGTTTCAGGCTGACAGATCTATCGGTACTGGTCACGAAAAGTCGAGACCGATTCTATCTCTATTTTATGGTATGCTTTGATCAGCTGCCGATTTTCTTGGCATAAATATTTCAAACTACGCTAAAAATATTCACTTTACTTTAAATAAAATTCCAATTTTAATAATAGTTCCTGGTATAACCATTAAATCTGTTATTATCATAAGAAAATACCAAAATGAATAGAAAATTTGTAATTCACTCCAAGCTAATGGCTTTTCTTGAGTTCGTGCTAAAGAATAATATAAACGAATTTCTTTACATAAATGATGTCCAAACCATAATGATCGTATACAAAGAATAAATGAAATAATAGTTATAAATAAAACTACACAATCCAAAAAAATCAATAAATTACGCCGCACTAATGTAAAATCTGCATTTTGATGTATTAATTTTCTATTACATGTACGAAATTTTGCGTCAGAATTAAGATGTTGACGAATTTTTCCTGTTCGAGCATTATTATCAAATGTTACCTAAAGAGAAAATCTTATTGAAAAAGAAAAATCTATTTTTCTTTTATTAAAATAGAATACTTTAACTGAAAAATGATAACAATCAGGTAAACTAAATAGTCTTTCATTTTTAAGTTGAATAGCATGTATAGCAAATTCAAGTGTTAATAAATTAAGTCTAAAATAAAATATACAATATACGTATATTGAAAAAATACAAAGCATATTTTAAAAATTTTTCGTACCCACAATAATTTATTGTTTCATTATGTATGTTTAATAAATATTCTTCAACATCAAAAGTATTTGTTGCGTTAAATGTAAAACAAGCTAAAGAAAATTTAAAAAAAAAATATTCTTAAACTTATAATTAAAATATTTTTAACTATTTTCAATTTCAGCATCTAATATATACATATGTGAACTTGGATCAATTTGACATGTTTTAAAACGATCTAAACATAGAGTAATGTAATGTTCACTTGATTCTGAATCAGGATTAGATAATTTTTGTATTGAATGATCATGATAATCAAATAAACCCGATGATATATTTGTTAAATTATTAAACTAAATATGAATATGTATTGAATACATATAAAAATATTTAATTAAATAACACTTTACTCGATGTACAACATAATTAATTGAACGAATAAACTCATGAGTAGTATAAACAGCAAAATCTCCTGATGCTCTTGGATATGGTAATGTTTCATCATTTGAACTCCAACCACGAACAAATAAATGATGAAATGTTATATTACTTTCAGAAATAAATACAACATGTGATTGTCTTTCAATACCAAACAGAATTAACTATTTGAAAAGGACAAAGAAAAACAAGAGACAAATTAATTAAAATCTTATTTGTTTGATTAAAAAAAAATCAACCTGTGTAGTAAGAATAATAATTTTAATAAATTGAAACCATGCTTTCCATGGACATTGCCGTTTTAAATGCCATTTCCAACATGGTGACATTAAAAAAAATCGTAACTTTGCACGTAGATGTGCACCATAATCATTGGAACAAGTTCCATTTGATGTTGTTGTTAATGATGGTTGTTCGATGTCAACTGCTGGCATTGATGTTGTATTGATATCATTTTGTGAATCATCAAATGGTAAATCAAGTAAAGGTACATTATCTCGTTTTACGCCCATTGATATTCTATTATATGTTGGTAAAAATAAAGAACGAATCATTAAATTTAATCGAAAATCAATCAATAGATATATTCTAAAGATTAAGTCTCACTTTGCAATTATATTTTGCATTGTTATTGCTTGGTTGAGTAACCTATACTCTTATTAATGTTTTTTTTCTCGTTCTAATTCTTATCAATTATACCAACCCTCTCTCTATTTGTTCGTAACTCTTTTCTTTCGTTTATGCCGAAGGATAAATAAAGCACATGTTGTATAAACGAATATTTTATCTGTAAACAAGGAGAAAAAAAAAAGGACTCATTTTCTTTCTTTTTATCTACGTGTTGAGTGAATGAAAAGATAACACTCATGATTTTTGTTGGTTGAATAGCTAGTCGTTCTCTTTTTAGTCTTGATTGATACAATTCCTTTTCAATAATTATTTGATAAATATATTAACTATTTAAAGGTGATTTTTCATGTTTTTATTCGTGCTAAGAGAAAAATATTTGAATATAAGTATATTGTAATATATCTTACCTTTCGATTTCACTACAAAACAAGACAATAAATGAAAACAGCTTTTAAAAGTATTTGATCGACACATGGACCAGTTCACGCAAAATGGGATATATCGTCCATTCATTTGGTATGTATTGAAAATGTCGAAAGAAAAAATGTCGAAGGAAAAAATATCGAAAGAAAAAAAAATCGAATGAAAAAAAATGTCGAATCAGTGAAAATGTTGTTAGATGAAAAATATAAAATATTTATTTTATTTCATTGAAAAAAAGGAACAATACGTTCTTTGATAACGTCAAATACGTAGCTAAAAAAAGTGAATCATTCGATAGGTCCNATAAATCAATTGTCTAATATGATTTTATTTTTATTTTATACAGGACCATTAGCTCTATATGCAGTGCAATTTTTGTAGTTGCTGGTATAACGGTTGATGAAATACAAAATGTCATGTAGCATCAGGGTCAATTAATTGATGATAACGGTCCTTACTCTAAAGTATTGATTTTTTGGCCAAAACTAGAAATGTCCACGATTCGGTTTAGTGCTTCAATATCCTCATATGAATCCCAATTAAAAAATATTCAAAAGAAAAAAAAACTAGCGGGGGGGAATAGCCTATGGAAAATGGGGGACTTCCTTTGAGTTCAACATGACACTTTTAATTTCTTTTGATTTATCAGTAGTTTTATATGTGATTGATTAATAATCGGTTTTTCGCAACTTCGATACATTTGTTATTAGGTTAGAAGCCAAAATATTTCTCTTGGGGGCGTGGATGTAGAGAGTACTCTTATTAATCCTCAACCACAGTTTACCCTCAAGATAATGCATATGTGTGAGTTTAGGTCTCGGTCTGAGTGAAAGTTGGTAAGAGTCTTCTCTATAAATATGCCGTGTTGAGTACAGAATTTGTATTATACCCAATTTTTTTCATCACGTCGTTTATTGTCTATTAACTAAGAAACTCATTATCCATTTCTTTGCATCAGTCTCTTGACATTAATTAGGTATTTAACTCGATACATGTATTTCACAATCCATAACTTTTTCGTTTACACTCAGTTGATATCGAGCCATATCTTATTTCGAATCTGAAATTTAAGAATTTAAAGACTGAATTTTTACAATAAACTCTTGTTGCTTGCATGCCAGAGATTATAAATACAAAGATCAATGAATTGTAAAGACACTTACGTGTCATCAAATAATATTTTTTGAGTATCTACTGCATAGTAGATCTTTATTGAAGTGAATGTTAATAGTGCAAAACAGTATTTGTTGATGTTTTTCTTTATGCGAAAAAACTTTGAACATATTTATATCAATGATAAAAATTTCTGTGCATTTGGTGGAAGCCTAGAGAAGATATTCAACTCTCTTCTCATTAAATTATTTAAGAGCCATCCTATATAACAAATAATAGTAGTGCATTATAAAGTTATTTATAAATATTATGAATCAAAAATTTTAATATCCAGACATAATTATCATCACTAATGCGAACTATGACATACACCTACAATATTCTATATCACTTAATATTTCATTATTCACTTGCATCGGTATTTTTAGAAAAAAAAAATGATTCTTCTTTTTCTGATAATCAAACGTAGATGAACAACAGAATATAAAAGTGAATCCCATTGACTGCGAATGAATGCTTTTCTCCCATCCATGGCATACATACGAAGTACTGTGTCACACTAGCTGACAGTTAAAATACACAATTAGAAAAATCTGAATTTTTTAGAAAGATCATATATTTGTTAGTTAGTATGATACAAGCAATATCTACACTTGCTTGAATTAAAATGAAGGTAAAAGATAAAAAATGTACCGTGAATGCAAATTTTTGTTGAAAGATATTTTTTAAAATATAATGCGTAAATCAAGCTGAGTTGTCTGTTTTTTGCAAGAGACTACCATGAGTTCTGACACTTCTAAAATGCTTGTCGACAAAAAAGACAAGGTCTTAACAAACTGACATCAAAATAACTGTTTACTACAATGGTACTTTGATTTTATAGTCTTATAATATTTTCTGAGTTGGAAACAATTGATGCTTTTTAATCATGTCTTTTATAATGATTCATTATCAAGATAATATTTATCGAAAAAATAGCTCAAAACAAACAAAAGTAACAGTTCCAAATACTAGAAAAATAATCGGTCCCTCGATACCTAAAGAATTTATAATTGTCACTCTGCAGAAGACGCTTTTCTTCATTAAATATTTATGTTTGATGACATTTTTTTGTGATTGAATCATGTAATCTCTAGAAAATAATGACGTATGCGCAGTGGGTGGTATAGCTTTCTACATCTCAATAATCATACAGATAACGCACTGACCGATATATGTATTGAGAGATGAACTTATTCTAATGAAAAATTATGCTGAAGCATTAGGCTTATATGTAATACTAATTTTTAACCATTGGCATATTTTAATACTAATGGAAATTCGACAGTCCTAATAAAAAACTGTAATGAAATCTACAAGCTTACATTACACACTATTATTCCTTCATTTTTTTTCCACTGACTGCTTTCTGATCACTATTTTATGCATTTTCAATGAATCTTCTCATATATTTGCTACAAAATATTTTTTAATGAGTTTCCTTGAGTTTAATCCTAACATATCGTTTGCTTATATAATTATCTATTTTTAGTTTAAAAAAAATTATTATACTTCTTTTCATTTTAAAAATCCATAACTTCTGCAAACGAGAATACTGTTGAGTTTATGAGGCAAACCTAAATGAATATTAATAGTTCTTTGAAACTTTTCAAAATTATTTGTTGACTTTTTTTAAATTTATTCCAAACCTACTATTGTTTTTTCAATGTCTTAAGGCTAATGAAATTTGATTTCTATGTACCAATTAATTATAAACATGTCTGACGATGATCGTTTGAGTAACAGTCAAAGTGAACCATATTATGATGCTTTAGGTCTTTTATTTATATTCATTCACCTCCCTCTCTATTCAAATTCGAATATCATATAATGAACTATCCGTTACAAAAAAGATTCATTCGAATTATATCCCTCTTATTATTCGTACTGTAGCTTATGTTTAGAAATTTAGACCTCTCTCTCTCTAAAGTCATATTTTTATTATGAAACACACAAATCTAAGCACAATGTTTTGAGAGAACAAAACACATTTCGTTTATAACGATAATGGAATCTCGTTTGTTGTTATATGTCTAATCAAATTAAGATTTTCTTATGTATTTCATTCTTTGAAACGTTCATTGGAATACGATTAAGAAATGAATTGAAAATGAGCCTAATTAGAGTACATGTTTGATTGGTTGACAAGTTCCCTAAAATAACGTAGAGTAAAAATTATTCCATGTCGATAATAATATATATCTTGCATAGAAGAAACAACAATGACAAGAACAGACAAAGTGGTAATTGATTTGGTTGATGGTAAGCGATCAAAAGCTCATTTCATCGTATTTTACACATACTTCTCATTATTTATTCAATTAATTCATCTTTTTGAATCTACTTTTTCTTGTCATGTGCATGGAGTAAAAAAAATAACTACTCTTAATATATAAGATGACTAAAGATGATGTGTAATAGATATATAATCTTCTTTCGAAGAGAAATAAGATTGCAAGTTCACATAACATAATTAAAAGAGAAAGATGTCATCGCTTGCAAGTCAACTTGAAAAATTGCAATTGCAGCTTTATTGCTACGAACTTCCAATCATTTTTGGAATTGGTATTATCGGCAATTTAACTAATATACTTATATTTGGAACAAGTGCACTACGAAAAAATATGTGTTCATGGTATTTTATCTGTTTATCTTTGGCTCATTTGTGCGTGTTGATTTTCGCTTGTCTACCACGCATTATATCTGCTTTAACTGCCTACGATTTATCAAGTCGATCTCTTGCTTTTTGCAAGTTTCGTGCTTACGCTACCGATGTAAGTCTAGTGTTAGCGCGACACTTTCTCTGTCTAATTGCAATTGACCGATGGCTAATTACTTCAGCACACTTATGGATTCGTAATCAAAGTTCAGCCCGTATAACTCGACGATTAATTGCTGGCAGTTTTATCTTTTGGTCTCTATTTAATATTCATGTACCCATTCAATATGGAATCGGTCGTTTGGGTTGTTCACCACCATTAGGCACTACCTATGAACTTTTCTATTCAATGTATAACATTATCATGTCACTTATACCTATGTTCATAATGAGTCTATTTACTGTACTGGCTGTACGCAATTTACGTTTACGAATGAATAATAGAGTTCAACCTCAACCGATTACAACTGGTTCAAGCACTAATCCTGTAGTGAGTTCAACGGCTTTTACTACGGATAATCTTCGACAATCTAAACGTGAAAGTCAACTTATTAAATTATCCATACTTCAAGTGATTGCTTTCTTAATACTCAATACTATTCGTGCTATTTTTCCACTATATTCATTTTTAATGAATTCTCGTGGTAGTCTTACGGCTGATGAGAGAAGTCTGGCGATATTCCTCAATGG